CATAATAATATGCGATAGTCGTACAACGTAGTACAATGAGATGCCAAATCAAATGCAATACCAGGCCATAAAAATTACACATCAAATTTTAGAAAGACGGTATCGGTCATAATCGAATTTCTTCGGATTTGTAAAGCACCGTATCTGTCGCACAACTGAAATTTAGCACAGGTATGAGTGAAAGAGACGACGCTTTAATCGTCTTTTTCTAAAGCACGATGTGTAATATACGGGGTGTAATCATTAAGTGTGACCAGCGATTATTACGTAAATATAAGAAATATCAATTGATATCGAAAGTATGTTATCTAATGAGTATAACGACTTCAAAATATTTTTTAAATAAAGCTAGAAATATTCAAAATTCTAACGTAAAATGCTCCTATACATTTAATGTGACATTCGTAGAGTGGCTTTAGTTCACTTCACTTTTTATTTTTATGGCTCCATCAATATGAGAACTGATGATTTTGCCAATGTCACAGTTGAAAGAAAAAAAACGAAACAAAAAAAAAATTTTCGCTAAGCTCTAATAGGACATTAACCGGTGTTGGTAAGTTGGACTACGGGAGTACTCAGCTTTAGTTACTTAAAAATAAACATCACTTTGTTTTTATTCAATTAAAAGATAGTTTTATTGCTTTATTTATAGCATTTTCGTTAACTTCGATACCTCTCACGTAAGTTGTTGTGTCAAAAAATACCATTTTTTTGCTTGCAACTTAAATACCTATATAATTTTGTATGTACATATATTATAGGTTCTATATATAAAAGTAAAGAAATCACTCAGTGCTATGTTTACTCTCAAACATGGATCCTATAATATACATAAAAAATATATATTTAAGTTAAAAAGCAAAACAATGGTATTTTGACTTACAACAACTTGCGTGTGAGTATCGACTTTTTGTTACCTGTTATAGATGAGAAACTAAAGCCTATCTACGGATGTCATATTAAATGTATGTAAGCATTTAATGTTAAAATTTTGGATGTTTCTAGTTTTGTTTTTAAAAGTAATTGATGTCGTTTTACTCATAAGGTACCGTACTTTGTATATAATTTTTATTTACGGAATGATCGCCTGGGCACACTTAACGATTACACCCTGTATAGGGCATGGTAGTGTAAAAGGTACCAAATACAAACCTCGTTTATCACTGGTGCTATTATAAATCAAAGTCGCCGACGCCCTCTGCGTATTCGGTACAGTCCTGGGACCATCAGTCAAAGGATCATAATCCTGGATCCGACCAATCTTCTGCTGCCCATGACCTTGTTGGTAATTGTACCCGTATTGGGGGTCCTCGTATTTTGGATTGTAATATTGCTCAGTGTAATTGTCGGGCCTGTATTCTGGCCTGTACTGCTCCGGGTGGTACTGTTCTGGCCTGTACTGTTCCGGACGGTACTGTTCCGGCCTGTACTGTTCCGGACGGTACTGTTCTGAGCGGTACTGTTCTGGTTTGTATGGGTTCTGTTCAGGTTTGTAAGTGTTCTGCTCTGGTTTATACTCAGATTTGTATTGACGGTTTTGATATTGTGTTTGGGGTGTTTGGTAATGGTTTTTTGGGGGTAGATGGGGAGCTGTTGTGGGGGGCAGCATCTCTGTGGCGTAGTTTTCGATTTGTTGATGGTAATTGTCGGTTGGTGCATCTGTATTAAGCGTGCCGCACATACGGACAAACAAACATATAATATAATTAGGACACAGTTAATGAACGGGGAAAACCATTGATCAGAAAATATATGATTAATAATCTATGACATATTCACTTTTGTAAACACAGGTTGTAATAGAAATTGACAGTGACAAAATACGCCTAATTTCGCTGTACTTGGCCATATATTAGGCATACAAAGATATTGAAGGCATTAATTTTTATGATACCGTGACGGGACGAACATGTCGTGTGCCTTGTGATAACCGACGAGTCTGTCCATAGCAGTCGCAGTGCCACTCAGAGCTTTAAACCGCAAAGATCTGAGGGTCACTGCTATTGCGCCTTTGCGCCCTGAGCCATAACACACACCTCATGGAAGAACGGCATAAGTGGAGTTACGTCAAAAACGCTTATTGCCTCATTAGATACCGAAAAATATAACCCACAGCCTCTCCAACTCTTGTAACTCTGTCGGTTAATATTGTAGATGGAGTTACAAGAATTAGAGAGGATGTGTAGCGTAATTGACATTTTCAAAGAAAATAAAAATTTTACAAAAATGCAAATGTGTTGGTTATGAGAAGGAGAGTATACAACCTGTGTTTTCACAAATAAATGTTAAATTTTATCTAGACTCCATGAAGAAGCCATTATCTGTTGTTAAACACAAAATAACAATGTGCTGCAAATATTTTCCAATCAAGTTTCAAAAACGTGTTAGCATAAATGACAAATTCTCCATGATTAATGAAATAATGGAACAATACACAATCACCAATAAAGAATCGATCATTCTTCGCCGTTAGCTATGAACGCAACTAAACATTAACATCCCTCAACCTATTTACGAACAAGTCGTGCGCCTGGTGGTAAGCTACACGCCTGTCCATAACAGTTGCAGTGCCACTTAAGAGCTTTAAATCGCAAAGATCTCAGGGGCACTGCCACTGCGCCCGACACCCTGAGACATAAGTTGACAAGTCCCATGTGCAAGTAATTTCACCAGCACTCTTATCCTTCAAAACCGGAACACAGTAATGTGTGCATTACTGCTTGGCGGCAGAAATAGGTAAGGTGACAGTACTTCCTTGGACGAACTCTTTCACAAGAATTTTCAGTTACTATAATAATACCATGGTAGTAAAAATATCATAACATTCAATAAAATAAAATATTTTCATATTCTGTTTTTGTCAACATTGTTTAGTTACGTTTTTCAATGTTGCAAAAGGAATGGATTTACGAATTTCAAATTACTGTGACAAACGGTAACAATAATGTTACGTAAGCAAATATAAACTTATCGGCCTTACTATAGTATTGGTAATCGTATGCAATGAAATTTACACAGTCGGGGCAACCTTCCCACACTAGTAATGGCTGTAACCATCGACAATGTGCTAATTGCTTAATATGGTCATGTTGGTACATTGGTCACATTTCTCACGTTTGCGTAGGTGTAGATAATTTGAGATTATGCTAATAATACATTTTGTTTTTTTTTCAATGTTGTATAAGACAATATATCGACGAAGCAAGGGAAAAAAGCTATAATAAATAAGACTACAAAACATTCTGAACAACCTACCACGGGCGAAAATGATCCAATTGTTCGAGTAAATCGACTTCAAAAAAAGGCGAAGATTCTCAATTCGGCTGCATGTTTTTTTTTGTATGTATGTTACGCCATAACTCCGAATTCGGCATTTGTGAAGCAATTTTTGATGAAAATTTTTTGTTGGAAAGAGGGTTCCTCAAATGTGGTCCCGTTTAAATTTGAAGAAAAATATTCCACCTCTAAGGGTGGCAAAATAGGTGATGAATGACTTTTGAGGTCGGGTTTTTTAGTGCTCTGTACTGATTATTTTATGAAAATTCAACATTTTAAAGGAAGTTCAAAATTCTATTTAAAACTTAAGGTAAACAGAATCTATATAATCGTACATGAAACCACTTATTGTCGTAACTCAAATTGAAATTAATTGAAATATAATAAAATTACATTTATAAATTTAATGTCCTCTGCCTTGACGTCCGCCGGTTTGCACTCGCCCTTAGTTGGTATCGGTATTTTGCTTTGGGGTAATTAATGCTCTCGATATTAATAAAATCTTTGTTCTGCAGAAACGTGCAGTTAGGGCAATTTACAATCTGGGTCCCAGAGTGTATTTTAGAGTAAGTTTAAAAAGATGAACATTCATTTATGTCAAGAAATATAATATTTTTTTATGAAAAATAGTGATAGACAACATTAATACGAGGTATAAAAATAAACTAGCTGTTCTCGACAGTCGTCTTCACAAAGCCGACGAATTCATTTAAGGGGCAATACATGTGCTTCTATAAAAAGATTCTGGGTGATATTTAAAATTTGTCTTTTAAGGTTATTACCAGGGATCGGAATAGGTAGTTTTTTTTACCTAAATTTCGAGGAACATAGACAGAAAATGGGGACTGCCTTACGACAATATTTTTTAAGTCCTGGACCTTTTCGGGATTCAGGAAATCATTTAAGAACATTAAAAATTGACGTAATTGGGGACAGGCAGGTACACTATGTTTATCTTAACTTCGCGACACAGTGGGTCGGATCAGCGATATTGCGGACATTGGATTTTTTTTTCACAATACGTCTCAAAAAAAATGCCAATCGAGAGATCCTAATATCCTAATTAAATATCACATTTTGCCGTAAATCTAATAGCTTAGTAGGAAAAAAATAAAATGTATATTTTTTGGATGGGACCTTTAGCGCCCCATCGTTACAATGTCTTAGTCGATCCAGCTTTGGAATCACTACAGACGTAATTAGACCTATCTTCTACAGATTTGCATACTAACCGCGCGCCCAAACCGGCCTAATCATAGGTAAAGAAAACTCTACCTATTCCGATCCCTGGTTATTACGCATCTTCTGCGTACTTGGATGACAAAAATCCGTTTTAATGACCCGTTTAGCTCTTGCAGGTAGTCTCGATTTAAGATGTTTTTTGAAGTCAATATTGCAAATGATAAATGTATTCAAATGTATATTTACAAAGAGCAACCCTTAGAGTTTCTTGCTCATTCTTCTCAGGGGAATCTGCCCTACGAATGAGCAGTAGAGTTTAATCAGTATGACGGTTAGGCGGACGGTCAAACGTAACTTGCTTACCCAAAAAATAAAGCTTATTTGACTTTGAAAGTACGAGTGACCAATAATTTTACTACTTTTTTGGCTCTCATTATTTTCTGGCTTATAGCTTTATTCCTTTGGTCGTCGATATAGCTAGTTTTCATAAAAGAACAACGTTATTATCTGACTAAACAAAGATATTGTTTTATGAATCAAATAGAAAAAAATAACAATTGCGATTTGAATACAGCACTTACGTAATATCTGCGAGAAATCGTACAATCACCCAAGTAAGGTCAGCGTCAAGAGTGATTTACGATCTTCGTAAACAAAAACATAAAATCGACTGAATTCATATACATTTAAAGTGCAATTTCGATTGCAACTGAAATACAACCCAAGCCTTCTAATGTTCAAATATATCTGGAAGGTTCAAAGTATTACGTTCAATTTATACGCATAAATTGGATATACCAATTAATGCGTGAGAAAATCTAGAACCCGGCCGAAGAATCAAGTTATTTGTAATTCCAAAATGTACCAATAAACCAACAATATCTTTGAAATAAAACTATTTTTTCGGAGATAAATCACGTATATTTGTTTTCCAAACGTTTCGGGCCTTTTTTTTATAATACCTATAAATATGGTGGTAAGCGACACGCCTGTCCATATCAGTTGCAGTGTCATTTAGAGCTTTAAATCGCAATGATCTGAGGAACACTGCCACACTATCACTCTGAGACATAAGTTCACAAGTGTCATGTGCCTGTAATTTCACCAGCACCCTTACCCTTCAAAACCGGAACGCAGTAAAGCTCACATTACTACTTGACGGCAGTAATAGGTAAGGTACTTCTTTGGACTAACTCCTGTCTGGTCAAAAAAACCAGTTTCATTTCCAATGAGAAAAATGATTTTTTTTCCATTTAAGCAATACAATCTACAAGAAATACCATAATCTATCGGGCTTTTTTTTTAAATTAACCGACACGACACATCACGATAGTGCTAAGAGTTTAGATAGTAAGGTATAAATGAAATAGATGGCGCTAATTTGAATTAATGACAAAATCTTCTACTATACCATTGGGAAGACACCACATTTATTAACGCAGAATCGGCTTGAAATGAAAATAAGCGCCATTGTCTTATTAATTATGTAATACGATACGACAGCCTTTGTATAATTTGGTGTTTAGTATAACAGTCCAATGCAGAAGCGAATAACTATAGGTGAAGATTGAAAATCAGCAATTATGAGTCATCATCCCTTTTGTCCACATTAATATTTTATTGTTTAATTATTTATCGATTTGTGAGTTTTGTGGATAAATGAATGTCTGTGTATTTTATTTTTAACCGACTTAAAAAAATACATTATTTTTGTATGCATGTTACGCGATAACTCTAAAAATGTGTGAACCCATTTTGATGATTATTTTTCGTTATTCTACATAAGAAAATATTCCACCTCTAAGGGGTAATCTAGATGGGGAAAGGGGAGGAGAGGGGAAAACTAGGGGATGAATCCGGTTTCGCGCACTTTCCAGTAACTGATTTCAATAAAACTTGGCAAATAGATTCATCATTTCACGAACTCTTGAGGTAGGTTTTTTTTTATAAAAAAATTACAATTATTTACATACATATTGCCAAAATTAATCATAATTGCTTTCAGCAAAGACGCTAATTAATATTAAATTGAAAATTATTCGATCTAGATAGCCAAAGCCAATTTGCTCGGGTACAGGGATTTCCCGAGTTTAAGACCAGGTGGTGGTGGTGTGGTGGCTGGTATATTTTTTTATCTGGGGAGGAGAAGCTTTCAAGTAGCCTACATCTTATTTCAACACAAAACATTTCGGTTAATTTTAAACCAATATCGTTTGAAACGATATTGTACGTGGATAGTCGTGTCGTGTCGTTTAATGTAAAAACTGCAATGCGTGGAGCTGCTTGACATATTTGGAACCTATCCAGCAATTCTCAAGCCTCGTTCTGTTGCCGTAGCCTTATAATAAATAGGGAGACAAGACTTCTAGCTCGATTACACGATCCGTGATGGACAACTCTAAAGTCCACAATTAATATAATTGTTATGGATGTCTTATTCCGAAAAGTTTATCAGTGTCCTGAAAAAGTGTTCTGTTTTATATGCTCACCGACAATTTCCCCGTTCTCGTTGATCTGGCGCTGCCGTTCCATCTGGGCCTTCTTCTCGAGATCACCGTGGTACGCCACATTGCTGATGATCTTCGTATTCGCTTTGATTCGTAAGGTTTCGGGGTCGTCTGCCACCTGGGGGCCAATCGCGCTAATTGTCAATGGTAAAACCAAAACCAAAAACCAAATGAAACGTCGCTAATGTGACACATTGCGTACATTTCGTATCGCGCTAACTGTCAAAACAAAAACCAAAGCTAAACAAAAACCAAACGTTATAAATGTGACACGTTGCGCACATTTGGTATCGCGCTAATTGTCAAAGGTAAAACCAAAACCTAAAACGTTGCCAATTGGTATCGCGCTAAATATTTTAACGTTTTAACCACTTATGTAACCTTGGGGAAATGGATTTACCTTTGACAGCCTAACGTTTCTGTTGCAGTTAATGGAGAGTAACTTTTCACTACATTTATCATTTATTACAGATGTTGCACAGCTATTTAAATGTTTCGGAAAGTGTTTATTAGGTGGATGTGGCCTAGGAACGGGCTTTAAATAAAAGAAAAGCATAGAAAGACGATCACATTTAACATGTCTGAGGAGAAATTCCGCAAACGATATATGTACCGTTTGTTCACGGAATTATTTTCAGGATTGTTGGAAGAACTATGCCTACATATTCCCGTTAAAGGACGGTCTGTTGCATTGGATGAGGAGACAAAGGTAAGGGTTAAGTGGATACAAGAATCCGATAGTTATCTGTTTTGCATAATAACCAAATTTCTATACTGTGTAAATCATTATTAATTTTGTTACAGATTTTAATAGCTCGTATTTGTTTTAACTACTGGGGCGTACCAGACCCCCATTGGCAACAGTGCTTGTGATAAGCACCTTTCCCAAGCCAGTGTCAGTAAGGCACAAGTGGTAGCTGCTTTAAATAAACCAGGTATTATGAATAAATATGCAGCCTTCCTAAAAGGCATGCCGAAAACGATGGTATTAAAAGGCGGTGAGAAAATAAGCTTTACAATCATTGACTTACAAATAAATGGACGACGGGTCTAATACAAAAACCACGAAAAAATGTCCCAAGTCAACCTATTTAAACGTAGTGACATGTCAAGGAATATGAAAAAGCTAAAACGTTGAATTTAAATTGTAATGTCGTCGCAGTACCGTCTAATTTTGCTTGCTTCGCTGTAAGTCGAACAAACGAAGACTAGAGCGTGAATGACGCTCTGTATACGATTTTAACGCCCTATAAGTTCGGACACTTTTTAGCGCGGACCCGACGTCCATATAATTGTAAGTCAATGTTGACATTGTACATCATCTTTGTTATTTCTTGTCTTATATCCTCTTATTATTATCAAATAAAAATGACAGGTATAGGTAAAATATGTATAGTTGTATAAAAATATATCAAAAGGTTACAATTTATCTCTTTTAACACTTGACTTTATACAATATATCGTCCCCTTACAGTGAAGCCTCGCATATGCATTTTCACAGTTTGCTTTTACTGATTTTTGTTGCATAAAAATTAATAATGTAATATAGTATCTAAAAGAGGTATAATTTAAGTAATTAAAATGCTAACTACAAACATTATTGTCTTTACTATACTTCACACCATTTTTATCTTCATCCTGAAGAATTACATAGAAATCACATATGAGGTATTCATTCTAAGATGACGATGTATACCTATTGTAATTGTTCATTACCTTAATATCTAAATTGATGTATACTTTTAAGAGGTTGAAATAAGAAAAGAGTGTATTTTTAGTTTATTTATTGCCTCTATCTACCCCAAACCATCCTTCATTTCCAGAGCGATCTTGCTTTTTATTCTTCAAAAAAGTCTGAAACAAAAATATGTATATAGTAAGATAGGAGACCTAAATTTAAGACTGAGCCACCCAATGACGAGGAGTGGTGAAACTCTATACTCCTATGTGGGGTCTTGCTTTCTGATAAAGAGCAATACCTCTTATGAGAGTAGTGACAGATAAAGCAGGATGGGTAGTTATATACATACAGTATGAAGCCAACATAAACGCCAGAATGTTTAGGGGCGTTTTCAAAATAGATTTAGAAAATGTTTATATCACTGTGGAAATATAAAAGGGACAAAAGTCTATAGATTAGACCTTCGTTCCTTACGCTCTTTCAGATTTCCACAATTGAACATATCATTAGCAGAAATTAAGAAAACACGTTGAAAACAAACCTGTCATTCTTGTTAATTATTCTATCAAAAAGGTTAACTGCGGGCACCAACTCGGTAATTGCTTTGCAAATGGCAGCTACGGATTGGGCATGCAGAACATCTGCTTTGGCAGAAATAATAGCTGCTTCAGCCTGCACCCTGCCAGCATTCACTTGCTGCAAGAATGCTTCGCATGCTCGCAGCTCCTCAATGCATAAGAATTCCACCCGGCTCTGCTCCAACGCTCATCAGCTCGCTGTCATCGAAATAATAGATGTGATGTAATAAAGAGTGGGAAAGAATTTGCTCGAATTGAAAGTTACTTAGTTATTGAATTGTATGTTTGAAGTTATTTAGTTACTTTGCGCTAGAGTTGGTGTCCTTTAGGAAGGTTGGAAGGGCCTATGCCGCAGTCGTTGCCGCCGTCGATGTGGCGTATATTCTCACCCTGCTTTTCATATCATTCCATACCTGAATAACAATAATAACATTGCATATTATAGTGATATGAGGTCTGGTACAATAACGGTGAGTGATCCACTCACTGTATCCTATTACCTCTCATTATGACTCACCTTTTGGGATCTATTGCGGGGCCACAAAATAGCCACACACTCGCACCAAAGGCGTGCTGATAACACGCGCGAACAACGCCGAGCGAAGTCATTCTCAAGCCAAATCTCTGTGCGATTCGAACTCCAACAAAGATGGAGCTGGCTTACAGTGGTCGCTCGCCGTCCGAACGCATCCACATTGGCTGAAATACGAGCATCATTATTAATTCTACATTGCTAACATTTCGAAATTAATAGTAGTTAGCGTACCTATTTGATTGTATAAAAAGATACTATTTTATTAAAT